GTTTACGGCCTTTGTTTTCATCGTGATGGTTGCCAGGCGGTGAAAATGCCCGGATGTCCGTCCCCAAGAATTGAATTTTATAGGCTGTTTTTAATTCACTTTTGATTGATATTTGCACAATGAACGATTTACTATTATATATATCACATTCAATTCTCTAATGGTGTGATTTTCTGTTTAGCTCTTAAGAGAAATATCAATTTATTCTAACAACTCGCTAGTTTTGGGGTTGAGTGATGTGGTTATCTGCCTCTGTACATCTCCCGTTAATTTTTGATGACTGGAGAATCAACAATGCAGGATACATAACTCAATGGTATGATAATCTTATCTATCAGATATGCTTACTGGTAATTCTTTAGTTTCACTATTATAAATTTTATGAAAAGGATTCAGGTCAGATGGGCTCTGTGCGAGCTCTTGTGCATTTATTAGGATTTTGGTTACTTATATGAATTGTTTTTATGGTATTTATGACTAACCTTTTTGAAAACATGTTTGCCGAACAGAAATACAGACAATTCTTCTTCGATACAAATTGCAGTTCACAGCTCAAAACAAAACTACAGACAATTCTTCTTCGATACAAATTGCAGTTCACAGATGCTGAACAGGAATACAGACAATTCTGCTGCAATACAAACTGCAGTTCACAGATGCCGAACAGAAATACAGCAATAAAAACTGCAGTTCACAGATGCCAAATAGAAATACAGACAATTCTGCAGCAATATAAACTGCAGTTCACAGATGCTGAACAGAAATACAGACAATTCTGCAGCAATAAAAACTGCAGTTCACAGATGCCAAATAGAAATACAGACAATTCTGCAGCAATATAAACTGCAGTTCACAGATGCCGAACAGAGATACAGAAAGTTCTGCTGCAATAAAAACTGCAGCTCCGACATGTACCATACTTACCTGCATTTGTCAGATGTAAGTAATTATGTTGTTGCAACAACAGTTGGTGTTGCTGCTGCTGATTCAACATCTGCATCTGTGCTGCAGTGTTGTGTGAGGATAGTCTTTGACTGCTCATTACTGTTGCTGATGGTGTCAACATCGCAGATGGATGGGAAACTGAAGTCTGATTCTGCTGGTGATGTTGTTGTTGTTGTTGTTGTTGTTGTTGCTGCTGTGGTGGTGGTGGTGATGGTGGTGATGCTGTTGCTGCAAGGTTTCCTGCAGACTTTGCCGTGGATGGTGTTGCTGTGTACTATAGCTTGATAATGAGCTTACTGGTGGTAGTTTGTGTGCTGAAAGAAAAATTACCAGTAATAACTTTGGTTAGGACTGTACAGATGGGTGTAAAAATTCCAGCTACTATCTTCCCCAGTCCATCCAAGCATAGTGGTACAATGGACATTTTAAATTCACTGCATGATCCAAGTTATGCTTGAAATCCAATGTAAAAACAGAAAAATCAAAGGTTATGGCATCGCAGTGGCTTGGGATTCAACAAAAAGAAAAGTATTATGGGATATTCCACACTTAATAATATGCTGTCCACATTTGATGATGGTCAATTTTGATGAAGTAAATGAATCTTAACGCAATAATCCTCTCTGAAAGATGGGAATTTTGGATTATTTTCGAGCTATGAAAAACTGCACTCAAGTTCAAAATCAAATCATTTGATTTTTGTGGCAGATGTTCAGTCCATGCCTTTCACACAAGACCTTGTAGTGAAAAATCACCAAACGGACTTGCTGATTGAGATGCAACAACTATTACAACTGTTGTAATGACTGGAGGAAGGCCTGTTGACCAAATTGGTTATCCATTTTCACAATAATGGACTTGCTAGCAGTGTTTTGACGACACTATCTTTTGTCTTGTTTTACATTTGATTTCACACATAATGCAGAATCTCGCAATAATCAAGAAAATGGTCATTTGTGACATTTAAATTGAAAAATGTATTCATGGAAACAACTAACAGGGGTAAGATCTAATTTAACTACTGGTACGTTTGATCGAACGATACTATATTAACCTCTATTGTTTTATTTTGTGGTGAGCATTTTAAAACCAACATTCCTTTAAATGAAATGAAATGAATAGCAAACTTAGGATGGAAAATCCCCAAAAAATGTCTATAGCCAGCTAGACCAAAAAATATATTGTGCAATAACACATGTGTAATGCTAAAAAAAAAGAGTTTCTGGTCAATTTGGTGACTAAAATCGGTGTGAGTGGCTTTTTATTTTATATTCTGATATTGCCATTAAATTGATGATTTTTCATGAAAACTGTTCTCTTTTTTTCATAAAATTCTGGAAGAAAAAATGAAAGCTGTGATTTCAAAATACTCATGGTTAACCAGAAAAATGTATATATTTGTTTTCTAAGTAGCAAGATTGTTAGTAATAATTCATTATAAAAGTTTTTTTTCTCACCATTGGAGAAGAGGAGACGGTCACTCCCCCTATTCTCTTGATCGAATTCATCATCTGAATACTGCTGCTTGTGCTCTCAATATTCCCCAGTGACGTAACTCTAGCACTCTCTATGACTGACTGGCTCGTCTGTTGACCGACGAGCACATTGACGGTGTTTCCATTTGTTGCCGTTGCCGTTACTGTATGGATCGATTCAAGTCCTGCAATATCATCGTGAAGGTCACAGTCTTCACAGAGACAAACAACAGCATGATAATTATATGATAGATGGAATTTAATTGGCTGCAGATGATTAATGCATGTTAATTACTTCCTTATATGGTGGGAAAGTCTTTATCGTTTTTACTCGTTATCATATTTGGGTTATTATATATAAAATATTACATTTGGCCTTAAATGAATATTATTCAAATCTAAACTGAAATTGATAGTTGAAGCGCTGCAGTCGTCGTACCACATCGTGTTCGATATGGGACCCATGTACAACGTATGAATAATACATTGTTTATGAGAAATTCGAAAACTTGCTGTGCGACAACTGTATTGTGTTAATAATAGCCCATAGCTTCTAGATGAAGAAAACCACCATCGCCTTACACACCCAAAAAAAAAAAAAAAACAGTAATACACACACACCAAAATTAACAAAACTCCTCAGTTCAAAAAAATAAATAAAAAATACACACAACAGTATATAAAAGTAAAAGCAAAAACTATACTCATTTTTACATGAAATATTGCAACGTATAATTTTGTATTTGTTATCAACAGAACAGGGAAATTTCCACTTGTCATAATAGACAAGCATATTAATCTCAAAATGCAATTATTATGAGCAGTATGTATTATTATTTTGACCAATATACATATATACCTCTTATCATTTTTGTAAATGCATTTGTTACTCATAGACCAAATACGGAATACTCAAACCACTGTAAAATTTAAATTTCCAACCACTTTGCAAATTTAGTTTTAATGAGTATGGCTGTATTGCATAGTTTGAAGACCAACCTGTCTGTGCCATTTGAAAATTCATATTGTTTTCCATTGCCAGTTTGTTTTTGAAAGCTTCTTCCTTTCGTCGGTTTGCAAACCAGTTATAGACACGAACCTCCGTGACCAGGTTAGAGCCAAGTCCACTGGCCTGTGATGGAGAGACGCCTCGCTGACGACATTCAGCTCTGTGGGGGTAATAAGAAAACAGTTTGTTTCACTAAGGTCTTCAATTATTTGCTATTTGAAGAAATGTAAGAGACTTCGACAATTTTCTAAAATTGTGGAGCCTGAATATTTCCTATAGTCTGGAAGACCATACAGCATAGGAGGATTTTAGTGATGATACAAGGAATATTAGTTTGTTTACCTCCCTAAAATTAAGATGCCTGTTAAGCAGCACTCGATGCAAAAAAATAAAATTGTCTTTGCTATTAATATTTAGATATTCTTAACAACACATTGTTGATATTTTAGAGCTTTTCCACAACTGAAATATACTGGAAAAAAAAGAACATTTTTCTTGCATTTCAATGTTGTGTAAAAACTGAATGAATATACAAAAGCCACAAAAACAGTATTTTTGCCCTAGGTGCATTCCCACTACATGAATACCTTAAAGAGTAGTGGTCATCTTGCTGCGTTGCATACATTGTATGTACAGGTTATTTGAAAACTCGCTACATGACGATCACTGCCCTTTGGACTGAATCTGAATTTTCATCTATTTTAATTGCTTTGACTTACGCATTGCATTCTATGACTAGTGATTCTCTTTCATCTTTACTGGGATTTCTATTCTGTTGATAAGCTCTGTATAAAATAGCCTGTGATGCAGGCCCCCACTTGAAACGATTCCGTCGCATTTTCTTGTTAGGACTCTCTCCATCTTCATTATTGTTATTTATGTTGCTAAACTCTGAGTAGTAAAGAAAATCTAGGAAGAGAAGAGCACAATGAAAGTTTTGACTATATAACTGATTATCCCAGATATTATTTTATGAAACATTGCAGACAGATAATTCAATCTTGTATCTGCAGAAATGGCCAACAGTCGGCCATTTTGAATCAAACCATGAAACAAAATAACGTGCATCAGCTACAAGCACATGTATTGAGAGGAAATGGTTTATGGGTTTTTTTTGGACATAACTGGCTATAATCATCAACTCCAAAAACAAATTTGCATTTGTACCAAATTTTAACAAATTGGGTATCTGAGAAATAACATCTGCATGCATGTTACACATGTGCATTAAATATTGAAGAAAATAGCATAGACTATCAGACATTGTAGGCCTAGCCTTTTGAAAAATCACCTGGAAGCTAAAAACAGCTCTCCTGATCACAGTTGTGACTGAATAAAGGAACTTAAAAATAGTATGAAATCAGAGATAATTAAAGCGAGAGGGTTGTCACCTGCGCACACGCAAAGGACGATAACAACACGCACTAAAAACACAAAGGCTTATGGGCAGACGCTTGTTTGTAAACAACGACATGCTATGGCCATCTGATGACTCCCCCACTTTAACTTTTCTGGGTCTTGATTTGGGCGAGTGGATTGAGTGATCATCATCCTCAGAAAGTAAGGTCTGGAACTAATGTTATAATAATAATAATAATAATAATAATAATAACTTTATTGCATCCTTAGAAGTACAAATGTTCCATTGGTTTACAGCAATAAATATATATATGTTATGAAACTTTGCAGACAGTTTTAATCAATCGTTAAAAGGTCCAAATACAGTCTGGTTAGGAGATGCATCTGCTGTAAAACTATATTTTGCTTGGAATTTATTTTTGCTGAAGGAATGATTCAGTGAAAATAAAATCCAGCAAATATATCTTTTTTTTTCCAATATTTTACATTCAACTTGTAAAAAATCAGTGAAAATAAATTCCATACAAAGCACCAACAATTTCTTTTCAGCAAAAATTATTTTACAGTAAAATGTTGTGACTTAAATTAAAAACAAGCAGCCTCTCGGCTGAGATAGCTCCGCTGTTAGCACTGCACATTTAAATTAAAGAACAGAAGATATCAATATGAACAATATGCATAGTATCAATGCAACGAGACTTGCTGTTTTCAACAAGAATTCAAAAATATCATTTTTCACCATAAATGATTGTGGTTTTAACAAGAAGTCGAAAATATCACTTTTTACCAAAAATGACAAAAATATTCACCAAAATTAGAAAATTAAAGATATCATTACAAAATGAACAAATCTGAGAGAGGTACAAATGTAGTACCTATATATGTAATATCAAAGCAATTGGACTTGCGGTTTTAAACAAGAAGTCGAAAATATCATTTTTTATCAAAAATGACAAAAATATTCACCAAAATTAGAGAATTGAAGATATCATTACAAAATGAACAAATGTGAGAGAGGTCCACATGTAGTACCTATATATTTAATATCAAATCAATTTGACTTGCGGTTTTTAACAAGAAGTTGAAAATATCACTTTTTACCAAAAATGACAAAAATATTCACCAAAATTAGAGAATTGAAGATATGATCATGAAATGAACAAATCTGAGAGAGGTCTACCCAAGGTACATATACACGAAGTATCAAAGCATTCAGGCTTGTAGTCTTCAAGAAGAAGTCGAAAAAGTAAAACATTGACACAGACGACGACAGACGGCGGCGGACAATCACTCATATGATAAGCTCCGCTCGACGAAGTCGACAGCGGAGCTAAAAATTCCTTCTTTACATCTTCAAAATTCAAGTCCATAAGATATTCTAGATTAAAAAACAAAACAAATAAAGACCAACTTGGACATGGTACTTTAAGCTTGGGATGAATT